CTTCAACATCCTGTATCTCAAAAACGAATCACGAAACACATGTATAAAGGGGCATCCATTTAAGTGAGACACGCTGTATTTGTGAATTTATCGAGCTATAAGGCACTGTTGGCAGGAATGAGAAATGATTTTTATAAATACATTCAAGTTAGTGTAGTAAATTCGAGACCCTATCGTGTCGTTTTTTTTTTCTGACGTAGAACCAGGTCAGACATGGTAGGTTTTGTTGACCATATCACTAGGTATATGAAATCGTATTTTACGACATTTTTCTGTGGTCTGGAACTTTTTAAATGAGAAAAAACTGAAAAAAATGCACTTTGAATAAAATGTATTTTTTTTTGTTTCCACCGTCATATCTTCGGAACCAATAGAGATATCGAAGAGTTTTTTTTTGTAGATTGAACTAGACACAATAGCGCTTCTAACAGTACCGATGGATTCCATGAAATTTGCTTCTTTCATTTTTCAAAAATCAAGAGAGCATGGAATCTAAAATTTATGCATTACAATTTGCACCAATCGAGAAACTTTTTTATTTTCGAAAATTTTTGTATACATATAGCGAAACAAATGGAGCCCATATATGATAAAAGTTTTTGAGATAATTAGTTTTTTCCCATTTCGTATAGATTGGCAACAGTGATTTTTTTTATTGCTCGCTCAATATCGGCACGCGCCACCGGAAGACGAGGGTGGATTAGTTTAATGTAAACTGCATTCAGCGTAATATCTACATGCGTCGAGTTAAAGTTAACGATATTTATAAGAAATTCTCTGAGACAATAGAGTGCATTATTTGTGGAAAAATTGTGCGGGATGATGACAAATCTGTGGTACAAAGACCTAAAATATAAGGATTATACATGTATTATATAAGTTGTCACTAATATCAAGTGCTGAGAGGACACAAGACAATCGATTAAAAGAAATTCTGTCGCAAAAAATAGTTATTTATTATACAAGGGAAAAAAGTAGTAGATTTTAGCTCCAGGTTGTGTTGTCTCCCGACGCGTAGCGGAGGGAGACAAAAAACCGTGAGCTAAAATCTAATATTTTTCCCGTGTATAATACACTATTTTTTTCTGTGACAGAAGGAAGAACGAATCAATATTGGGAAGATATTACATTATTTCGAAATCTGAAAATTATCGACGTGAAATTTCAAGTTTTTAACAGTAAGGACACCTGCGTTTTATAGACATCTTCATCATTCTTTTGAAGTAATCAAATATCTGATGTCACTTCTGTCAGTTCAATTCTGTGATTTGATTTTGAAAAATTGCGAATTCAGTAGTTGTTTAGTAATATACGAAACCGCGAAGTCGAATGGAAGATAAAAGGACTTGCAGTTCTTTCTCGGAGACGGTATTATTGACTTATTTTTCGGAACTATAGCACAACAAAAGTCATTAACAGAGTATATATATGTGATATATATCCGGGAAAGAAGTACTCACTTTTTTCCCACGGGAAAAAAGTAATTTATGAAAAGTGACATTTTATAACCTGCCAACAGAGATGAAATGCCAAACTTTTTTCCCGTCACAGAAAAAAAGTATTTTGAATGGTGACCTAGAGAAAAAGTACCACTGCCACAAATCACAAGCTTTCAAAATATCAATATTATTTTGCAAAATGGCTGGACCCTCAAATTATTCTGGAACTCGGTTTAAATCACAAACATTTGATATCTGAAAAATGTACCTTATCTGCAGTAGTACTGAAACAAAAACGAAGAAAATTTTGATATCTGTTCAAACAGGTAATGAAAAAATGTTTATGGTTCCTACTTTGAAATAAGTAATTTTTTAGTATTTTACTGCATAATGAATACATACTCTTTTTTGGCAGTGGAAGCGACACTCTTAATAATATTATGAAAGCTGCAAAGGATATAAATGACATTTGATATTTGCATTTGATGTGAAATATCATGAATCATGTTATAGCCATTATATATCTAAGAGGAACAGAAATTCACACAAAAATAAAAAGGCGATTTCCACTTCATCTGCAATATCAAAAGAAGACTCAGCTAACTCCTCAACAAGTGGTTGTGATTTTCAGGAGGATATTTCCCTTCCCAAAGAAATGTCTGAAATTCAAATAATATTAAGAGTTGCTGCCGTCATACGTGATGCAATGGATTAATTCAAACCAAAGAGTGGATTTTCAACACCAGATGATATATAAATAGAGATGAGTTTCAGAATGAGTTTCCAAATATTTTACACCTATTTGAGTCATGGCTTATAGATGCAAAGTTATTTGCAGAGGTAAATATTGCAGTTGAAGATTCTTTGATTCAAGTAGTTTGTTGCTTATATTTTTACAGGCTCAATATGGGAAAACTAGCAAATTAGCAGTGATTCCAAGTAATATCATACTGGGGCTTTTCGACAAGTCTCATAGGAAAAGTTCTTCACGTCGGTCTGGGTTTACATTTTTGTATCATCACGTTCCAAGCAAACACATTTTGGACACACTATCCTCACTTGGACTTACTTGTTCTTATAACGAAGTCCGTTAAATAACAACTTCGTTAGCGAAACAAGAAATCGTCGACAGAGAAGATATTTATGTACCCAAATGTCTTGGACATGTTTCGGATGAGAAAAATAAATACATTCGGGCAAGTATTGATAATTTTGATTTGAACTAAGAAACTATTGATGGAAAACGAACAACACATGCTATGGCTATGGTTGTATTTCAAGAAAAACAGTCTTTGCAACCAATAAGAGAACGAATTAAAGAAGGTACATTAGCTCCGAGATTAGCTCTAACCAAAGAAGGAACTGATACAAGTTCACAGCGAATTGACAAATATCATAAGCCTTAAACTCGCCCTATATACCTTCAGAATTCAAATTACCAACAATAATCCGAAAGAATTCGAATTATCCCAAAAAGATCAATGTATCTTGGCCATTGTTGAAATTTCTCCAGAATGAGTATTCTTTCATGGGGTGGAGGGATTTTCAAAATATTTTGTCTCATGAAAGTTGACTATCAAAATTCTAGGTGTATATGTATCAACTCAGAATATGGTACAGCAGCAACATAGAAACACGACTTATAATTTCAGATGGTCCAGGATGGAATTTGAATAACGTTTGTATTCCAATATTTTCGAATGATACACTAATTCTGTTCGGCAATCATTTAGTATCTTTTGTTCAAATAAAAACTGTGATAGTCGAAAAGGTGATTGTTTTAAAGAAGGCCTAAAATGTTGTGGCGAGTGTGAATGTCGTTTTTGTAATAATGTTACTGAAGATTTAGAGGAAGATATAGAAGAAATTGACGAACTCGAATACTTTTGATGTACCTATAATCTATAGGAATAATTAAAAAAATAAAAGTTGTTTTATGCATACGTTTTTGGTTTTGGTCAAAAATGTTTAAATAATCATTCTGAAGGAAAGAATTTAGTTTGAAACATTGATTGATATATCAAGTATCATTTGGATAGTTCAAATAAAAACATTAAAAGGTATTATCCCATAAGAAGTCCGACCATAACGTACGTACGGGTCTGCTACCTATGTAGTCGACAAACATAGACTGGGTAATAAGAGAACCGGGCGCACGCGAGCGTAATTTTAGCCCGTTTTGAAAAAATCGCTAACTGTATACATAAATACATATATAAAAAATTATCATTCCAAAAACTTCTTTCATATATTCTCTCCATTTTGTTCGCATAATGTATACACAAATTTCCAATAATAAACTTTTTTATCGATTGCTATAACTTACATTTACAAAAATATCGATGTCAAGTTTGTTATCATTTCAACAAATCGAATAAAAATATGTCAAAATCACAAAGTAGGTGGTTAGAACCGCTATTGAGTCTTCTTCAATTTAAAAAAAAAATCAGCCCGAAACCACAATTACTTTGAGAGATATAACGGTGGAGACGTAAAAAAACATGTTTTACATATTAATCAATTTTTTCGAGTTTTTTGAAATTAAAAAGTTCACGACCACTAAAAAATGTCGTAAAAAGTGATTTCGTGTACACGACCACCTAATTGAAGAAATGGACCAAGTTTAACCTGGTTCTACGCCAGTTTTTTTTATCTCAGAAACTAAGCGACTTTGCTCTCGAAATTCGCTCGTCTAAGTAGGCGCTTCAGTTCTTTCATTCCAGAAATACTGTAAGAGCTTTTTATTTAATCCCTCAGCGAGTCCTAAAAAGATGTAACGAGTTTACGGATTGCCAGATTTTGTCGTAAAATGAAAAATCTTCCCTTCTTATCGGTGTTAGGGCATTTTGCATGATGAATAGCGAATATATGAGATTATCTCGAAAATTATTGTAACTTATGCTAAGGGATATTCTGCCTGCCTCTATTGATCTTCATTCTTCCATCGATTCCAATAAACTATTCTTGTCAGGTAGGGGTGGGCAAATTTATCGATATATCGATAATTATAGATAGTATCGATAAAAATTCAGATAAAAAATTATCGCTTTATCGATAATATCGATAGTATAGATTCATCGATAATATCGATAATTTCAATACTCTCGATAATGCCGATAATATCGATAATCATCGAAAAAGTTGTCGATAATTTCCGAAATATCCGTTGATTTTTAATTGTAATCGTCCACTCCTATAGTCCATTCCAACTAGGAATACAGCATTGTGAGTCATAGGAAAACGTTGACCTTCGCTTTCATTGGTTAATATCGGAGGCAATATTACACTTGCCTTTTATTATGACTCACGACGTGGCATAACTGTTGTTATAAAATTCTGATTATATTTCCTGTATTGAAATTTTACCATCATTTTGGATTGGGCGTCAAAAATTCATTGTGTTAGTGTAAATGTAAATATTCCTTCGGAAGAAGCGCCACCTACTATCTTCTCATTTCGCTATCTACAGGGAATATCGGCAAACGAATTTTTATTCAGCAATTTCGGATCAAAAGCAAACAATAACAATTGAGAATTGTATTTATGATTTTCAATTGTCAGGCCTTCGTTGAGAGCAACAAGAGTATCAAATGGTGCCCTGTGGCAGGCTGTGGTCGAGCGGTAAGACTCCCAGAAGCCGAACAAACCATCGCAGATGGGCGTGGACTTAGAAACGTCAACAAGAAGAACATCCCGGTGACGTCACACGCCGTCGATTGCGGAAATGCTCACTTCTTCTGCTGGGAATGCTTGGGTAAGCGTACACGTACGGGAGTAGGGGTTGGAAGCCCAAAACACTGCAGCCTTTGGGCCTATTGTATTCCTGATCATGCTGTTGACTTAGGTGAACTGGTTCGCTACCTTGATAAGGTTTAGCAGCCTCTTCACCAAATCATTCTTTGGAAAGGCCTCTTGAGAGTTTACTGCTCCCAGAAGGTTGTATCTCCAACGCGCTAGTGCTTCGCACTCCAATATTACATGAGTGGCAGTTTCCTCCTCCTCATTGCATAGTCTGCATATAAGTTCGTCTGTATAGATGCTCATTTGATGCATATGTTCCCTCAAGGGGCAGTGACCGGTTATGAGTCCCGTCACTTGTCTGATCTGACTTCTGTTTAGGCTCAGAATGTCGTTAGTCACTGTTTTGGACAGTGTTCCAACCATCAGTTCACTGTGTCTTTGTCCTGGGACATTGTTCCAGTATGCCTGATGTCTTTCTTGCATACACCTTGCCAGCCAGCCGCGTATCGAGGTTTTGGGGATACCGAACACAGGTACCGATCCCATAAACAGCGCCGCAGACCCTTGCCTAGCAAGAGCGTCAGCTGCTTCATTGCCTTCAATTCCCTTATGCCCTGGCACTCATTGAAGAGTTACCTTGTTGTGGTTAGCCAGGGTTAGCAGGCTTTGGAGGAAATCCCAGACCAGTTTTGATCTGATTTTATTGCATGTTAAAAATCGAATGGCCGCCTGACTATCTGAGCATTAGAGGATTTGTTTACCTCTGTATCCTCTTACAATATTCTCTCTCAGACATGCCTCAATAGCATGCACCTCTGCCTGGAATAGTGAAGCATGGTGGAATGCCAGTATTCATCGTTTTCATTTTGCTGAAGAAACATGATCATCTTGCTTGAGAAGCAAAATCATTGCTTGACAGGCAAGATCATATGGCTTGAGAAGCAGAATAATCTTGCTTAATGAACGAGGTCACCCCTCTTGAGAGGCCAGATCATCTTGTTCAAGCCTTTCAGCACTCACCCAGGAAATGAAACTTGCTAATTGAGCAAGATGTTGTTGCTTCTTAGGTGAGAAGATAATATTGTTCCTCAAGCAAGATAGAGAAGATGCATATCAGTTCTCCAGTGCTGCTATATACATGCCTTCATCGATAAGTTATCATCTATCATATCGCCAGTGAATTTTCTGAAATTACATCCTTTTTCAAACCTGAGGAACCAATATATTTTCATACCTCCATATTTGCTAGCTCCTCCATTGAACATACTGAAATGCCTCGAGAAGTTAAACTCTACTTTTGTTTAGGAGAGGCACATGCTCCATGCGGGTGCAAGCAATGGCAAGAATGGCAAATGAAAATCAATGAAGTTAAGCCGGAAGAACTGAAGGCCTCTTGCAGTGGTTCAGAAGATGCTGCCAACTGTCTATGGCTGGTGACCAACTCGAAACCTTGTCCCAACTGCAAGAGTCCCATTCAGAAGAATGAAGGTTGCAATCACATGAAATGTTCGAAGGTAGATTCATTTTCAACATTGGGACAATATTCCAGGAAAGTTATAAAATCCAGTCAATTGAGGAAGTTAGTGAGATATTTATTCACAATGAGAATCTGAAAATACAACTTACCTGAGCAGGTAGCGATTCTCTCATCGAGAGAAGGATATCCAAAACCAGGAATACTCTGATTCAAATTGTTCACAAATTGCTCTCTTACTTTATTCATTATTTATTCAGTACCCTGACAATATCGCGAACATTTCCAGGTGATACGGAGATGAATAAATAATAAATAAAGAAGAAAATTAGTATTCCTGGGTTTCGATATCCTTACGTGATAACTCTCGATAAGAGAATCGCTACCTGCTCAGGTAAGTTGTAAAGCCTCTAGAAGTGCCTGTGGTATGGCCTCCGATATATTTTCGTATTTTCATTTTTGTATTTCCATATTCTCATTGTGAATTAATATCTCACTTCCTTAACTGACTGGATTTCATAACTTCCCTGAATTATTGACCCAACTTGGCGCCCAACGTGGGAGTTTTTCTTTGTTATGTTTCAAAACCTTTTCCAGTGCAAGTTCGACTTCTGCTGGGTATGCCAGGAGTCCTGGAAGCGGCACAGCTCGGCGACGGGTGGCTACTTCCGGTGCAACCGCTTCGAGGCCGTGCGAAAAGCAGACGAGCAGCAGGGCTCGCTGATCATCGAGGCCACGGACAGGAACAACCAGATGCAGGAGGTGTCGCGTTTCCTGCACTTCTACACGCGGTTCAGGAACCACGAGAACAGCCAGAAGCTGGAGGAGCCGCTGCTGACGAGCGTCAAGAAGAAGATGGGCGTGCTTGCTGGCAGTTTGGTGCACAAGAAAGGGGAAGGTAACATTTTCAAGATCTTTTTATATCGCTACTTCGAGATTGGGTATCAACTCCCCATATTGTATTGCATGGGTGAATACACTGCGACCTTAAAGATCTACTGTGCCCCTTATCTTTCTACACACGATGAGGTTGTTCTCCGCACTAGCGTTGATAAGGGAGGGTACTAGAGGACAGTACATCCTCCTGGAAGATGTAGGGACAAAAATTAATAATAAATTCAAAATTCTAGATATCAAGAGCTTGATACATGTTAATGCTTTAAACCAGTGAGATAATGATTCAACGAATCTAGTAAAACAAGTTTCTGAATATGTTAGTAGATTTATAAATAATTCCTCTCACCAACATTTTTGTCATATTTGTGGCAATCGGAAATAGATCTTCGGAAAAACAAATGGAAAGAAACCGAAGAACCAGACGAAACAGCCTTAGATACTTCACAGCATTGCAGTATCGAAATATTTCCCACTATTTATGCACTCCCGTAGATAATTTCTATTAAAGAAAGATCATTTTCTACACTTAAGTAAGAGACTGAAATCATGGTCAAGATCTACAATTGTTCAGGAAAGGCTAGACGGATTAACTTCATTAAATATTCTTAGAGATATTGAAAGGAATATAGATGCTGTCATTGATAGGTAAGCTATGTAAAAGAAAAATTGTAGTCACAGAGGTAACTAATGATTTGTTAATAAGATTCGATCAAGAGTTCAGAATGTCAAGTTACTTACTTCAAATTATCTTATGCTGATATTGAGAGATCATTCTTTATATTTCCATCTAATTTATCTTGATTCGTTTATTTAATTGAATGATAATTGTTATTTTGTTAATTTCGAATGTTCTTAGATGAAGAAACAGCTTTAATCAAAGTTGAAGCTAATAAATCACAATTCTTGTGTTGATTTATTATACACCGAAACGCGCTGTACTACTAGGCAACCCCCAAATTATAATCCTGTTTCTGCTACTGAGTACGCCCCCTAGAAAAATGTTTAAGAATGTATCTATCAGAGAGCCTGAAAGATAAATTCATTCGCTTGTCAGTGACACTTTATTTTGAAAATGGTATGGAGAAGAGAAATATAGGTATACAAAAAAATATAAAATTTTCACACATCTTTGGACATTCCTGGAAAGAATCTGCTACCGTTTTCAACATAAAAATGGCAAATATTCCTCAGAAATTGTCGTCAGGTATTAGTTTAAACACTTCCTCAAAATATGCATTCATAAAGACAAACATTTTAGGGAAATAAATCCCTCCTGTCATTGTTTTTCAAAATTTAGAATAATTATCATTCGTATAATTTGAACGAAAATTCTTCTATAACTATCAGCTCAAATGTGGTACTAACTTTATCGATAGAATCAAAATTCCTTCGAAATATACTGCTTCAAATTCCTATTATGTCAGGATTGAAATCGATTTGTTCAATCTCAATAATAATTCAATGACAAAATGGAACTTTGAATTTGAGATTTTATATGTTATATCAGGTTAGAAACAATTTCCCATCTGAACATTTTTTGAAAATCGAACAAATAAGCGATTTTTTTTTTAATCAAAGTTAGACAGGTAGCGAAAGTCACGTGACCAAGCTCGAGTAGCCATTTTCCATCTTTTTGAAATAATTGTTGACGCCAGAAGTCCAAATCCAAAACGAAATATTATTGAAATTGTTTTCCATACAATGCCCACCTTTTTAAAAGATACTGTATAAGTAGATAATAGATTCATCCACTGGGAAAATATCATATTTAACAATATTCCACATCAATTCAAATCATCTCATCATCATTTGTATCAAATTATAGTATTTTCCTAAAATTTTGAATAGTCCAGAAACACTATATGTTTTTTAGAGTTGGGTGACAAATGCACCAAATTCATAGAGGATGGAGTTAGAGAGCTATTGAAAGCTAGAAGAGTGCTATGTGGTTCTTATGTATATGGGTACTACTTAGAAGACGATGGATACAATAAAACAATTTTCGAATTCATGCAAGTGAGTATATCATACATATAATGAATTTCTATCATTTGCTGATCACACTTTTTGATACAGCAATTTTTTTCCATTATGATGTTTCATAATTTCGGTTCGAGGAGCTGGTGTCTAATGATTTTCATACTGCATCCTACTATCTTATGTCCATAATTTGTTCATTTCAGAATGAGCTAGAAGAGGTGACTGAAAAACTAAGTGAGATGATAGCCAGACCCTACCTACGCACACCCAAGACTGTGATAGTACAAACCTCAGCTCTAGCAAGAAGAAAAAGACATGAATTTGTCAGAGCCGTAGCTCAAGGACTGATACCCCCTGAAACCCCTCCCATGCAAAGAAAGCGAAAGAAGAGATACCTCGATGTAAGTAAATTTCAATTCGAGGCTAGTCGCCTTCACCAATCTTTCTTTTTCTTTCTCAGTCGGATCTCTCTCAGACTTGTGCATGGCTGAAAGACTGCGAATGGCCTGAATACGATACAGACGAAGAGACTGACCTGAGCATAGCTCATAAAAGCGTCCCCTACACGCAAAGTTCCCCTAACAAGGACCACCAGTGTGGTCTGCTGTGCAGCAGGAGCTGTGGACGATCAGAGTACAACATGGAGCTTATCATCGCCCTGGAGATGTCCAGGCTGCAGATGATCGAAGATAGGATGAAGCAGGTGCAGGCGCAAGCGCAAAACAATCCGAATATTGCCGTCACTCCCGATCCTAGCTCTAGTATCTCCAACAACAGCACTGAAAGCACCGATGACCAGCTGAAGTTGGCTATACAGCTCAGCTTGCAGGAATCGACTGCGACGCTGAGCAAGCAAATTCAAGCTGAGGAGCAGAGGAGTCTTCAGAGAACCAACGCTGAAATAACGGTGGACTACTTCCTGAAGTCTCTAGCGAATCACAAGATCGATTTCAAGTCGTTGGATAGGTATGGTAACGAAGGGGACAAAGAACTTTGTTTCAAGCCTTGCAGAGGTAATGAGGATGGGAGGTTTCAGATTTCTGATATACATGAAAACGGTTAGTTGAATCTGAATGTTGGTTCAATTCGCATTCCTGTATATATGTATATCTTTCTAGGTTTCGCTTTCGAAGACGCTGATGAGTATGATAGTGACGTACGTCTGAAGAGATCTCATTCCACAGGTGATCTTTGCGTTAGAAGAAACGGTCGTGGTACTAGAGTGAGGATGAGTGGTGAAGAACCAAGGTACTATGGACAGCTCCCTAGATTGTTTATCTTAGCTTGCATACACAGGGGCTGATATAACTAGTGTTCACAAAGAGAGAAAAACTCAAAGTCATTACCACGATAGTTCATGAAATGGACGAAAATGGTAGATAACGAGAAGAAAACTAGTTATTTCCTGGCTATATGCCACGCAGAACAGTGGATTACACCCACCTAAAATCTATGCAATAAATAACCACACGAGGCTATCAACTTCCGCGAAATGAACGCGAACGCCGAACGCTACCTGGCAAGGAAACAAACACTCCAAAACAAGTTCCCATTTCAGCTGAACTAGGAAAAAGCAAAATATTGCATAGATTTCGGGTGGATATATTGGTCTGCGTGGCATATAGCCAGAAAAGTAGTTTTTTTTTCTTTCGTTATCTACCATTTTCGTTCATTTTATGAAATATTGGTAATGACATTGAGTTTCTCTTTCTTTGTGACCATTCCATTCCACTTCGAGTATTTGGCTTCCTCCTAGTTGATACATAGGGTTTTTAGATATCATTTGGACTCGGACCATAGTAGCCAACACGATGACAAGCCGGAAGATATGGTACGTAGACTGCTAGCACTGCCATCTACCTCAGTACGTACGAAACAATTCTTGCTGTTGCACACTTCGTATCCTGAAGAGGAAAGTTACCAGGGTCAGAGTTCTGTAGAGGATACCACTACTTCTGATTCGATCAATGCCGATATGGAAGTGTGTGGGATTCTGAATTCTATCACTGATGAGGACCTAGGTGAGAATTATATTAATCTTCAGCTACAGTATGTCCAGGATCTCCGGCCAACATAGTATACCTACCTGGACATTGGGACTAACATAAGTATCATAAGAGATGCTTGTATATCTGGAAGAATATCTTGTTAAGCAAAGCATGGTTCTTCTGCTATCATTGACTGCAATTGATCAAGACCAAAAATTGTGATTGCTATCTTCCAACTCAAAACGTGATTTCACTTTGAATACACGGTGATAACTAATATATGTCTTCATTTTTTAATCAAATACGAATGAACGCTGAGGCTTCCATGATGTTGCTCTTCCAGGATAGATGGGTGTATGTCCAATAGGTACTGTGGCTGTGAGGACTAGGGAAAGTACTGTTGAATTATGATGTTGCCAGTTCTCCTGCTGCTCCATCAACTTTCATATAGCAATAAACTCTAGCTTAGTACTAATCATACCTGATGACTTGTTGTTCAACTTGATATATGAGAACGCTGTTGTTATATCAGGATGTGGCAGATTCGATAGATAGATTTTCAATTTCAGGTAGTAAAAGTTACGACGAAGAAATCAAAAAGACTGATCAAATAGCCAAAATATCCGATTGCAAAAAGCAAACTCACAACCCCTTCGCTACCCTAAAAGCTAAATTGTGTTCAGCGCATTTACCGAAAACCAGCTATCTAACCAGGATAGCTGTGAACAAGAGCATAGGCCTGTTAGGTGACGGCAAATCGAAAAAATGTTGTGATAAAACCGAAAAGAAGTGTCACGAGGAGAAGAAACGCTACGACGATAAACAGTGTCACGAAGAAATCAAACAGAGGGTGGAACCAGAACGAGGCATAGTACGGAAATATGTGGTGGGAAGCGAATGCAAGAGCGAGAAACATAGTCCCAAGAAACACCAGAAGAGCTGCAAGCGAAATAGTTTCTCCAAGTCGACTGGATTTTTGATCGAGGAACAAAGAAGAGCTTCCAAAGGTGAGCAAGAGCTGTGTGACACGCTACAATCAATTTTTTTTTATAAATGTTTCATGGATGATATATAAAAAAGTATTGCCGAAGGAAAACAACGTTATCAGTAAATCTAGTTAATTAAATGTTAGGTTAATTTATTGTCCAAGTATTTCACTTAAAGGAGCTACTGTTTTGGCCAATCAAATAATTATATTTTGAGGAATTAATTTCCAGCAAGCTGGAAATCATTTAATCACCTTCATTCGGTCCCAAATGCGTGTAATCTAAGTTTGCACCATTCCAGGAGTTGAGCTTAACTTTTGATAGCCAAAAAACCGCCAAATTTTTGCACTTTTTTTATTTTTTTGCTTATAGCTGCAAAATGGTTCATCGGTCGAAAAATGTCATTCTATTCAATAATATAGAAGGCAAAATTCTGCGTCGAATGACATCTGAAGACATCAAATTCCGTTTAGTAGTATAGCCGAAATCGAATGTTAAAAAAGAAGAAAATTTCGTAGTTCGGTGCAAGCTTACATTTTGCGGCTTTCCAAGACGACATATCGTGAAAACAGATACTCCTATTGAAAAAACCCATAAAATAAAAGTTGTAGAGAATAAAATTTTACGTTATATAGATAGATGTCCAAATGTTTGAGTTTTCTTGATTTGTCCAATTATCCGGATATCTGAATGCCCGGTTCAGCTTCGGTCCCAAATTTTGCATTAATTTATAATTATTTTTCATCTAGTGCGCGAAATGCTACTTTGGTGATCGAGAGCTGATTTTTTTAACGAGGCGCAGCCAAGTTGAAAAATAGTCGAAATCACCAAAGTATTTCGCGCACGAGTTGCACCAAACTACGAAATTTTCTTTTTTTTAACATTCGATTTCGGCTATACCTCTGAACGGAATTTGATGTTTTCAGATGTCATTCGACGCAGAATTTTGTCCTCTGTATTATTGAATGGAGTAACATTTTCCGTCCGACGCACCGTTTTGCAGCTATAAGCAAAAAAATAAAAAAAGTGCAAAAATGTGGCGGTTTTTTGGCTATCAAAAGTTAAGCTCACCACCTGACATGGTGCAAACTCAGATTACACGCATTTAGGACCAAATAGAGGTATTAAAACGATTTCCAGTTTGCTGGAAATTAATTCCTCAAAACGGTTTTTTTCGATTTAATTTTATTAGCCTAATGAGCTTGTATCGGAAAATGCTCCGTTTCGGAGATATATGGTTTTGAATAAATTCCCTCTTCTATTTTTCCAATTGATATAGTAAACGAAGCTTTTTGCACGAGTTTTAGTACCTGGTTTTTTTTTTGAGGTGCGAAATCATAATTTCGTATTGGTTTTTATGCGCACTGTGTATACGATAACATTATTTTTTTCGAAATTGCCTAAACTTTCATGATAGTAAACTTCTGGAGAATACTTCCGAGCGAAGCGATAGCTGAGTAGAGAGTATTTTTGACTATCACAGCAGTGACTCGGGTTCAACTCCTGCGGGGCCTACTTGTTTTTTAAATTTTTTTCACAAGTAATTTTTCGAATAATATACTCCTCAGGAGAAAGGTTTATTCAGGCGAGTTAGGTTGATTTGCTTGGAAAAAGAAAAACGATATTTTCCTTTCTCATGTTTCACGGCGGACTCCAATATAGAAATAGGTAACCCGCCAGAAATTGTTTATGTATCAGTATCCAACCGCCGCGCGCACAATTTTAAAAACGACGCTCTCAAATGTATGCGTAAGTGGATAAAATCATATATATATATCTAGGGAGCAAAGGTTAATTTCCTCCCATGTGTGTTTAGTTACACACGGAAGGAAATGGATACCTTTTCTCCCTTGATACATAAATAGCTAATAATTTTACAATTGTTCCATAAGATTTCAAACTATGATTCACACTGAGGTTCAATGAAGATTCATGTGAATCGTCAAGATATGCATGACGCAAGTGTCAGTCGGTATCTAGATGTAGTGAAAAACAACAAAATCGTTCAGCAGCCCAAGGGGCGAAATATATTACTTCCGGTCACATTTTTAGGGTTGATGTAATTCAATATCATATATGGTAAGCGAAAAAATTATGATTTCCCACTTTTTTTACCCTTTGTATGTAATGTTACCATTCGAAAAATTATGTGATGTTCAGTATCGTTAAGTTTGATGTTGGAAAAACAATTAATAGTGCCACCTAGTAGTATTCCAAAAGTAATTTTATTTTCAACAGAATCGAGCAGTGAAATATACTCAGTCTGATAGGTTCAAGTAATACCTCCACTCATTTTACTTTCCTCAGGGCTGTCCTCGAACCTGCGCATCAAGATATGCAAGAGTCCGCCGAAAAAGACTGATCACCCCTTGGAGACGGACAGCTCCAACGAGTACGAGAGCGAGACGGGGATTCCCAAGTCCCCTACCCTGTTCATCTCAGGCGTCTCGATATCGCGAACGCCTGAGCCCAAGTCCCCTGGAATGAGCCTGGCTCAGGGCGGGCGCACCTCCCGCTCGTCCAGCCTGAGCGTGCCGGCGCCCCTGAGCACGTGCTCGCTCAGCATATCCAGCACCAGCCTGAGCAACTCGAACTCTTTGCCGCCGGAGCCGTTCACGCCTTCGTTGGTCAGGTCCACCACGCCAATGTCTTCAAGGTAATTCTCTCCCACTAAAATTTCCATGAAACTCATAAGACGGATGTTCATCTTATAACGAAGAAAATGATATTGCTTCATTAGGTACTCGTGAGAGTCGTGAGCCTGAGGGAAAAAAGACAATAAATATATCATGTAATCATATATCATATAACCATACAAATACAGTGTATCTATCTATCTATCAGAATCGAGAATATTGGTCCTTCGAGCCGGATCTATCCAAATCAAACCTTCAAGACTGCCGAATTCTTTACAAAGGAGTAACAGTGGAAGTCGAGTAGTGGTAGTTTTCACAGGTATCAACAAGCAGATCATGTAAAAGGAACACCTAATGATACTCACTCATCATCACTACTAATTTCGAGTATTCCACTGACTGACTGACTGACTGAGTGACTGACTACTAAGCTTGAATATTATTTGCCCTGGTTTCATACTATCGTTATCTATACCCTTTCATTGTTCTCAGAATATCACCTATCTCTTTAACGTTCTCATCGAACAATCAAGAATAGTCCGTTGCCATGATTTATTGTGTGTTCTGAAGTACGCTTGTACATTTCGAAATAATTAGGATGTTCGAGAACAATCTGGAATGCGTGATACGAGGGAATTGTTGTCGTCCTTGGTAAATGATGTTATATATAGTCCCTCTCAAGAGAATATCATAACAATATCTAATCTAAAAAATAATCTTCGGATCCCGATGGAATATTGGTCCACTTCATAAAAAAATACCACGAAATCTTTGTAGAATCTTTATGCCACATTTTTTAATTTTGAACATATAAAACAAGTAAAATTCTCACCTTATCTGAAAGATTCGTAATAATTCCTATATTCGAACAAGGTGACAAAAAACAATCCAAAAATTATGGACCCATAACTATTAGGAATAATTTTTTGTGATAGGAATAGCCAATAAGGTAATAGTATCCTGAAAAAAAAATAGGGTCCACTTCAATTCACAATTCGGATTTTCAGAAGAAATATCAACAGCAGCCCGTGATGGGCTTCAATTTTCGTTAACTAAAGTTGAGAAGCTCTTCAGCTTCTTCGCCTTCTTCGCTCGTCGAAGGCCTAGAGTTTTTGTACACAGTTGAAGGGTTCCCATTATTATAATAACCATAATTCCCACTATTACTTATAGGTCGAATATCCACACACCCAGTACTAGTCCCTCGAAGTCTACCAAAGAAAACGGAAAATCCAAGAGTGCCAGTGAACCGGAAAGGGAAAGGGAAATGTTCAGGTGAAACTTGAAATGTTGACATAGACACAAAATGACGTGGCATGTGTTTCAGGTTCCCGAAATCTTCTACAGACGGGGCACTGAGTTCGGTGCTTCACGTGCAAGAGTCGAATTTGAGCTCGGACGACTTCCACGAGGCTTTGTTTTTGTTGGAGAGGTCGCCTAAGACTAGGGACTCGAAAAGAAAGAAGAAGTCGAAGAAGAAAGAGAAGGACGACAAAAAAGAAGACCAGAGCTCCGTTCTGTAATGATAAGACTGTCGTATTGCTTGTGAGTGGTCTTTCAGTACATGATTTCAACTGGAAATATGGTAAAAGTGATATTCCATAACCGATTCGGAAAATAATATTTCCAACAGATAGAGAGATTCTGTGTATTTGCGAAAATTAGAAGAAAACAGTCTTGTTTCGAATATACACAGCACAAGAGTATGCTTAATGTTTTAATTTCATTATGAGATAGCTAGAATCTATCTAAAACTTCTATACTACCTATTGATTTTTGTAGTTGTGGACTGAAAGATGACTCATATCTCATGCGTATCGTATTTTGATTTTTGTGATGTATTTTCGGACGAAACAAAGTGACCAAAACTACAAGTATTTTCGAAATAATTTATTTTGTTTTGAATAGGTTAACAGGTGAGGTATTGATCTCTTGTTTTCTTGATAGCTCCCAACGGCCTGATGATTTTGTTTTTTATACATTGAGAATCTCTTAGTATGTGAGGAAGTTTCGCTAGGAACCTCATATCTCAATTGTGGCGATAGTATTTCTCAATTTCAACAAAGGTTGACTTGATATATGTTGAAAAATCATTATATTCTCAATTAACTAGTGGTGCCTTTTTGAATAAACACTCTTTATTATACAAGGTTCTATTGTGGCAAGGACAATTAATGGAAGGGCTTGATTACGAAGTTAAATTATGAAGGAAGGTAATATTTTCCTGTGAGCCTGTCCTTTAACTGGAATATTATGGTGTTCAAATGTCGGGTGTCGGTGCAAGTTTTTTATCACTTCTCTTCTCAGAGTGGACCAATAATTCTGATTTTTTTTTGTCGTTTTCAAAATCACTCGGCTACAATCAATTGATTAATCAATGAGAAATTTGGGTGCATTTTTTTGCATCTAGTTTTGAAAAAAAGATTGCGAATGTAGAGTTCAAGCTTATGTTCGACCATCTCTGATACAAAAACCCATTTGTGAATTCAGAAGATTGATTCACCCTTTTGATTGCTTAAGCTTATATTCAAAAGAGAGTTTTAAAAAATAGAAGGGTGAAAATACCGAAACAACCGCTGGTGCTTATTTGATTTTTCTTGACAACACAATGTGCCTCCTAGTACTTTTGTGATATCCGTAATTTTTTCAATGCCTGAGTATTCCGAGATCAACATATACAATAATCTGTCATAAAAAACATGTCTGAAGATGAGCAGGTTAATCTGAATAACAGCTTGTTATTGTAAAAATATCCGACAACAAAAAACTTCCACATACCAATTTTGAATATAATCGGACCATAATCACAAAACCCATCTGCTTTTCTGTAGCCACCATCTTGATGGAAGAATCCTAATTTCCTACCCAGAAAACACCCAGATACCAATTTTGATGGAGTATCGGATTATATTTAATAAACACGGTCGCTATATTGGATCCTCCATCTTGAATTTCAAAATGTCGACCAAAAAATCATAACTTCCGACCCCGAAACCACCTGATACAAATTTTGAATAGAATCGGATCATAATTTCAAAACTTGTTCGCCATTTTGGAGCCTCCATTTTGTTTTTTCTTCTAACAAAAATTCAATGATGCATTGTCACCCGAATTGTGTACACCAGCCATATTTGAAGTCTTTGAAATCAATTGGACGATTAGAAGTGTGTCATATTTAACTTGCGAGATTTGATTAAACACAATGAAAACTTTTTGAAAATTAGATACATTGGAAGTCTATGTGAAAAGATATATTATATTCCATTTTCATGGACAAATGCATCTGATGTTTCTTTATGATTCAGATTCGTTAACAACCCCTTCAATTTATGATACTTGCAAGTGAGATACATTTTATGATATAGAAAATGAATCAGATCGTGTTGAGAGAACAGCATCTAAAACAGGAAATCCCATGCACGAATATTATCATTCTAGCTATGTTGGTATAACTGCTCCTCCAGATCAAGATCTAATGAATGAGACATCATTTTTTAAGTTCAAGTAGAATTTAGGAATTCTTAAATGGGACTTCTATCAATCGATGATCTAAATACCAACTGATATCATTTTCAGAAAAATTGGTTAATGATTTATAACCTTTTCTATCTGCATTTATCTTGACATATTGTAACTTGAACTATAAGACCTTGTATGTACAGGCTGTTCCATTTTCGATATCCTTACGGGATATTTCACTTGTTTTCATATAGATATATAATCGCCGTTTTTGCGAACGTTGGTTACTTTTTTGTGAAATTCACGATACCGCAAAAAGAATCTGCATAGCCCACTTCGTTTTTGAGATACAGGGCGAAATCGAAAAAGTTGTATTTTGGGACCCCCGTGTATCTCAGTTATCTTTCAACTTAAAGGAAAAACAATAACTGCCACTTGAAATCCAGTGGCGTAGTCATATTTTCAAAATGAGCTGTTATTATTTAGATATCATCCGAAGTTATGTTTTTTTCAATGGAACACCCTCTTTATTTTTTTTTATATTTGGAACATTGATGCTTGGCGCTTCCCGAAAACATATAACACTCATACGATATTTTGAGTATTAACCTTGAATTTAGATAATTCACAATAATTCAATATATTTCTTATTGATTCGCCTTGTGAAAGTGTGGCAATATTTCTAATGTTTCAATATCATGAATTTTCATATTTAATCTGATGCTGACAGAGTGTTTCGTCACACAATAGTTCAAATTTTATCAACATTCATTATTTACCAATATTCAGCACGATTTTTTTATTATAAAAGCTATGGACCTAATTAGGAGGTGGCAATGAAAAAAGCGAGTGCAGGATATCAAAACTACGAAAGATTATAAATTATGCTTGGGATATAAGTTGGTTTCTAAATTTTCGTATAGTTATGATATCCTGAATAATAATTTGCCATTGGATGAAAAATTTGTAAACAGGTGATCAGAATAATAATTATAAATCATTCTGCACTCGCTTTTTTTCCATACGAGTAGCTACCGACTAATTAGGTCCACTGATGGTCCACAGCTTTCATAGTCAATAAATGATGCTGAATATTGGTGAATAATGAATATTGGTAAAATTCAAACTATTATGTGACGAAACACTCCATCAGCAACGGGGTTAATATGAAAATTCATGATATTAAAAATGTTGGTACACATTAACAAAGCGGATCGATCAAATATATAGTGAGAAGTTCTAAATTATCTAAATGCAAACCTGATACTCATAATACCGTATGAGTGTTATATATTTTTGGACAACGCAAAGCGTCAAAAATTCAAATATGAAAAAATATTCCATTGAAAAAACATAACTTTGGGTTATTTCTGAATAATAACAGCTTATTTTGGAAATCTAACTGCACCACTGGATTCTACGTTAAAAACTGTATAAGTGGCGGTTTTTATTTTTCCTATAAGTTGAAAGATACCTGAGATACAGGGCTGGTCCCAAAATGCAACATTTTCAATTTCGCCCTGTATCTTGTGGGTTTCACAAAAAACTAGCAAACATTCGCGAAATCAGCAAATCTCTATCTTCAGAAATAAGGTAGATATGCCGCAAGGACATCGAAAAGTTAGTTAGGTTGTTTGGACTAGTACTGTATTTTTTGGAAAAACAGTATCATTACTGTGATTGATGCAGAAAATGAAGTACTATTTCAATCAACCATTCATACACACACAACATGTAATTGGGGTAAAACCTGTTTGTTGAAATAAATAAATAAATAAAAAAATAGCAAAAAAGGCACCTCATTATAAATTCAACACGTACTATTAGATATCACATAAATTGATTGAACGAGTACCAAAAATATTTTTGAAAGACTAATTTCGGCCAGTCTTAACACACCTAGTGGATCAAATTTGAATTACCAAAACCGCAATGAAAAAATGATTATATCGTCTTCACTTCTTCTTTGATTTCGAATGATATCAATGATATACATTCAGTACGACAGTGTCATTCCGACATTGATTATCTTCATTTATTGTTATTGAGGTCATATTCACAATATTTGATCAATAATCTATACATAACGAGTCTATACCTATACATTTACCATTTATCTATACTATTTTCCTCAGAGTACGTATTATTTTATATCAGGAGGACATAATTCAGATGCCTCGTATATGTCATTTTCATATTTCTCTAGCTATTATTATCATTACTATACTCTTTATATTCGTTACAGACCAGAAATGATGCTCAAGATAATTTGAAGTTACGTATTTATAACATATAATCAGTAATCACAGATTTTTTTTTCAGAATACTCTTTTTTTTGCTGGTGTCAAATGTTGTGATGTGTCTAAATATGGTTGTGATATTAAGAATCTGTATAAACAAGGATGTGAATTGTTGAATGTTAGATATTATACTGAACTAGATGTAGACAAACCATGTATCTCTGTGATTTTTATTGAAGTAAACACATTTCTCAATTTTTCTTGTTTTATTTTACAATTTTTATATAACTATATTATATTACAAACTCTCGAACAACAATTCAATAATATATAGGCTCTAATCAAAATATTTCAACAAGGAAGGCATTCATTGAAAATTTTGATATCACAATAAATCTTTATTATAAACCTAAAATTTTTAAAAATGCATAGAACAAATATTATTCTCTACAATAAATATTGATCTACATTAGTACCATTCAGCTCAAGATACTAATATTTCCTATTACAAAAACTGAAAATGTTCATCAATTCTGTTAGAGAATTTTGATTTTATTCACATCAAAGATGGATCCCTAGAAGGAGTATACACCATATTCGATAATGTTTTTGTCCTAAAATTTCTAGTTAGAACTACAAAGTAAAATTTCCATAGGAAACCTTGAGAAAGTCCTTATCTATACTAATTTTCGTCTGTTAATCTATATATATAAACTCATTTTCTACACTTGGTACTATTGTTGTTAAACTACATCACATCAAATTCAGAACATTGCATACTCAATTCAATTTCTTATTATTCTCCACACATATCCAGTATTTTAGGGAGTTATATAAAAAAGTATGTACAGTATATTCCAATAAAGTGTACCAAAATCGATTACCATAAATAAAGTGGCTACAGGTAGTCATAGAAATTATCTGGTCTCAAAAATTACAAAATGGTATCAAACAAAGAAATGCTGAAGGCTACAACACTTCCTTTCATTTGACCACTCTGACCAACTACAGGGAGTGTTTGAATTCAATTGCATCCAAACAAGATATATCTCAATACTGATCGTTTAATCCTTCAATTTCTGACATAACTTGTATATGGTTTCAGTATTGGACTACCTTATACGTACAACCAATGTTTGGCTTTGAATCTACTTGTTAGCTTACTTCTTCTAATTTCTTCATGTTCTTCCAGTGGCGAGATACTCAATGCTAATTTCTATGGAAATAAACAAAATAGAAAATGTAAACATCGTTTATACAGGGTATCCACGAGAAGAGGGTCAATCCGTCAACCATATATTCCTTGATCAAGAGAAATACGACCGTTTGCCATATTCCATTTTGGGTTCTCATGTTAAAACTCCATTGCTTCCAGGTTTGAAATTTGAAACGTTTTTCTTTATCTCTTTTTCAAGTTCTGGTTCCCACGAGAAGGGATATCCTGTAATGTTCAGGGAACCAAGGGAAATAAGGTGGGATTTGGTGTTCTTCTTGAATATCTGCAGGTTATAAACCTTGGGAACACCTCAGTTTGCAATGTGTTCCAGAGCCTCGCTGTTCGTTGGATGAACGAGTCTTTGGAAAGAGATGTTCTGCAGGTCTCCAAAGTGACCACGAAGGGGTGCGAAGCCTTAACTCGACGGGTTAATCTCGCGGGAACTGCCAAGAAAGGAACAATTGTTGATATTTCAGGAGAGCATTGCCAATGAAAATATCTATAAAATAGAGCCAGATCGCCCACACACACCGTAGTTCCTGAGAAGTGAGTGAGTGAGAAGCATCACCCACGAGACGAATTGCCCTTTTTTGGACAGAATACAACAGTTTCAGGGTATGTTTGGGTGCTGCACTCCAAATATAAAAACAGTACTCCAGGACTGGTAGGATCTGTGCCTTATAGATCATAAGCAGCTGACTGGAAGTGAAATAAAAGCTTCTGGCCCGAAACGGAGAAAATAAGTTTTTGGGATGCACTTTCAGCAATTGATCTCACGTGATTTTCCCAAGAAAGGTTATTGCTGATAGTAATACCAAGCATCGAAATGGATGTCATAGGTATGGTTGCTCCTGACAAGCTTATGTTGGGCACAGTGAGATCGGCTTTTCTAGAGAAAAGGCATGCTTGTATTTTGTTTGCATTGAAATCTACCAAGTTATTGGATTCCCATTCGAGAATTGTTGCCAAGTCCATATTTATGTTGTCAACATTTCTTCCTCGTTCGTTTCTGATTTGCCTGGCTGGTATTGGAGCCTTGGGAGAGCAGGCGGTATGGAGGGTACTATCATTCGCGAAGCTGTGCACTGGACATGAAGTTGCTTCCAAAAAATCGTTGATATATGGAGTAGAAATAGTCTTGGTGCTAGAAATTATCCTTGCGGAACACCAGCATTCATGCAGACGGAAGGTAATCCCTATATTATATTGAAAGAACAGACACGATAGGAAGAGAAGGAAAGTATCGGATTATTTTCAACTTTCGAAAGGTTCTTGAGCATATTTTCTTCAACAAAGAATACCAATGCAAATGTCTACTCATCGATTTAGTAAGTCGATAAAGTCATTTGGATGTTACAGGGAATGGTTGGTGAACGAATTGACTTCCTTCTCACGTATTTCAATGAAGTTAGTAGGGGTTCGATCAATAAGACTTCTTACCTCCTTGAAAGTACCTTTGGTCTTGATTATTTGTATTATTGCGAACAATGGTATCATGATGATCGACGATAATGTCAGGCCCCAACCAACCCATTCAGCCCATGGGGGGTAAAAGTATTCGTTGTATTGGAGTGACTGATGGTGAAATAGTCCAAACATAACCACACACTGAAAAATAAAATGGTTTCAATCAAGAAACAATCGAATTGAGTAATTTCGGCTGAACACCCTGTCTATTGGTTGAGCATTTGTTTCTGTATATCAATGTGTCATAGAAGCAAAGGTGGTTCTAAAGGGGGGTAGAGGGGACGAAAATATATCATCAACAAGAAAATCAACAATCATTTCAAATTATACAAGAGCCCCTATAGTTGAAAATGTTTCAATTCTAGTGATGGACTATTGTGGGTTTTTGGTATTACATGCAATATTAATGCATTATTAGATGTAAATTGAATGTTACTGTTTCAATGGTTTCTTCTACCCAACTCATAACTTAATGAGAAGCGGAACACAGATTTTTTGACAAAAAAACATTACAAGCTGAACATTCTGAGTGTAAAATAGTCTGCATATAGTTATTGTCAGAAATATGTATGATAATGAAGATGATAGGAAGCCCTAATTTCGAATGACAACAAAAAATTAAAAAACTCTATCACCCTGCGTGAGAGTCGAACTCACAACCTCTGGGTTACATGCCCAACGCTCTGCCTATTGAGCTAACGGGACATACGTCGATTAATCGGCAGGGAGGTCGATATAACTATATAACTATACGAAATATAAATTGCAGCAATCAATTGCATGCAACAAAAAATATGGAACTGTGCATGAAGCAGCTCTAATGCCAATGAAAATAAAACAAATAGCAAAATAAATTTAATGCTCAAGAGGAAAGTTTCAAAAATGACTTTGACCTAGGGTGACGTACCCTTTCCATAGTAGGTACTTACAAGTACTCTTTCTCGAGACTGCTGTCCTAGAAGTCTATATGTTTTCATTTGGGAGGTAAATGTCCTCTTTTTCGAAGTCTCTTCCATACGATTTATAGTCAAAATTTGATATTAGGAAGATAAGTAATATAGAGAAACTGAAAAAAAGATCAGGAAAGAAAGAAATTTGTTCCATCACTCGTAAACCGATGTCATCCGTTATTCTCTGCATGGTTCTTTCCATATGGTGAATTCCTAACTCAAGAATTAGAGGAGGCGATTGGTGGATTCAAGAAATGGTATCTGAAATCAACCAATAATCACTCCTCTTTCTTAAGTTGAGACTAAGTTATTGAGTTAAGCATTCATGCATTCACCATATCTTATGTATGAAGGTGTACCTGGTCTGTACCTGTTTAGTTACTAAAATCAGTGAATATGTTCATTTAAATTTTTTGACTCATGATATTGGTAAAATTATGCAGTTATTTCAAAGGTAGGAGAAAATCCAATTTTCAGTTTGAAGGCATTTTACCTTGAATGATTGCAAAAAATCGCCTGCGGCGCTTTTTTCTCTAGTATTCACTATATTTGATACTAAATGTACTCTCCTTTCATTATCAGAATCTGGTCACCCTACAGTATTAGCCCTCTAGAAAGAGACTTTCTTGCATGGAAGAAAAATCCCCTCGAAATTGCAGTCTACGGTATATTGTTTAAACTTCAAAATAGTGTGATATGTGGACAAACTACTAATTTCGTTTGTCCTCGAAATAAGGATAACTAGCTACTTACGATTATAAAACTTGGACTGATGAATTTCCAACAAATTCTCCAATACAGTCCTGGTTTCGATCCTAGCATAGCTTCTACATCTTGGGAAAACCTGTCCAATCCTATAAATACATATAATACATCAGATTCGAGAGAGGGTACTGCATGTTTTGAATAGTTTTACCATAGAACCATGAAACAGCAACAGCTTCGAAAATTGCTGAGCAAAGCAGAGATATTCCAGCTGAATAGGTGTCGAACAGGTGAAACATATAGATACCTCCCTGCAAAGGGGAGAACTGTGATATAATATCTCGAAATATTTGGGGGAAAACTGTGATAATCCCATACAGGTGGGTAATAAAATCACCGGCACATATAGGTTTTACAAGTTGGTCGACCACACTATGTATAATGGGTAAACGCGATGGATGAATGATTATATTATACAGGGTGCACCTAAAGAACACCGAAAAAATTCAAGGGGTGATTCCAGGTGATATTTTAGGAAATAAAGTTCACATGATTACTCGATTGTCTCTTCATCAATTTCGATAAAACGTTGTGGTTCTTCTGGTGCAATTAGATTCGGGTGGGTCAATTTATCAATATGTATGGTGAATGTCAATGTACGAGTTTCATATTTTTATTAGATTGAACTATTGAAATAACAACTTCTTTACCCTCTGTATGATTCAAGTATCAAGCTGAGTTTTTAAGGAAACTATAAAATTCGATTTGACTCCAAATTTTACTGTAGGTGTTTTCAAGACTTCCATTGAGATTACTCAATATCCCCAATCACAATCATTTTGAAATTCCAGGACTTCCTCAGTCTCTAACCATACTGGATTTTGGCACCATGGAAGCTTATACAAGGAAGTTATAAATAAAAACAATAGATACTTCAAACTTCTACATCCTGTATCTCAAAAACGAAGCAAGTTATGACACAGGTTTATATGAGCTTTATTTGTTAGAATATATCACAAGGAATCACCCCTTGAATTTTTTTTGTGTAATTTAGATACACCCTGAATACTATTTTTTTACAAAATGAACGTTTAGGAAGAGGGGGAGTAGTTGTATACTCGATTATCCATCTTCTTCAGACATTTATACCCCTCCTGGGAACATCAGAATGAGAGCAAAACAATAATGGTTTGTCAGTGAAAAAATACTTATCTTTCAATTCAAATTTACCCACTGAGTATATAATTTGTTTGGTGTTTTACCTATATCGGTTCTGTGTCTATATTTATTTCGATATTGATAATTGATAAACATATTACGAGTCTATCGAATTGGAGTAAAGTAGCATGTTGGATGATATTTTATTTCTCGCTACATTGATCAGAAATCAATTACATCTGCGACCGTCTACCCTTGAATTTTATTTCGTTGGTCAATGTACTCCTTCAGAAAGAAATATATACGCTACGCCTGATTCCATCTAGATACCATTCTGCTCTGTGAATCCCAGGCCAAATAAAAACAAAGTTTTGTACTCAATTTCAACCTTATAAATAAAAAATTCCAGGCACACTTTTGAGTGATTGTATACAACACTGGAACTCTAACATTTATGAATTGTTTTCAAAATTTTAAAAAACATGAATGATGATCATAATGACTAGATTTTCATATTCAAAACATTTTCTCTCCAGTTCAACGGAATAATAATGATTGAAAAACATGACTTCTCGTGGTAAAAATATAACATATTCACCTTTTGGTAGTAGAGTATATTTTTTCCATGGAACCTCATACCTCAGTCCTTGGGTGATATTGATAAATCTAACCACCATGTTGTATAAATAACTATTTACTACTGATACTCACTGGTGTTACATTGATCAGGGCAACGCTAAATGAACAAATGATGATGCAGAACGTGAATATTTCCCTAGAATATTTCCTATTCCTGAAGAACCCTGAAAACTCATCCATCAAACCAGTGATCACACATTCCAGTCCACCCATCTGAAAAAAAAACATGAAACCATGAAGGACAAATAAATCTTGGTGAAAAAGTGTTCCAAAAGTCAACTCACAGCGGAGTCTACACCTAACATTATCAGCATGAAAAAGAACAATATGGACCATAATTGGGAACCTGGCAACGTAGCAACTGCCTCTGGATACACTTGAAACACCAACCCAGGTCCTGAAAAAAGAATCCATCATGTTATTCACACGTTTTAGGACATAGTTTTGCTTGTTTTGCTCACCTTCAGTTGCAACCGTACTGATGTGAACACCCTGCTTATAAGACATATATCCCAGATAGGTGAATATCACAAACCCAGAGAAGAAGCTTGTGAAACAGTTGATGATGGTGGTTATTATGCAGTCCCTGAAAATTTCAATCAGTAAATTATGGGTATTTTTTTTATTCATTGAGATTACCTGTAACAGTTATTGTGGAAAGTATTATAGCTTGCATAAGAAAGGTGAACACCAAAACCAGCTCCAACTGAATAGAAAATTTGTACAGCAGCATCCATCCAAACCTGTTCATCAATATCTGGTCAAGAACTGTACAGCGCCTCTTGAAATGGAACCGTCCCCTAACTCTCTTTTTTTCAGAAATATCAGATATCAGATTTATTAGTTTTTCCGGAAAGGAAATGAACTTTGATTTTTTCAATAAAACACACTATACAGTGCGTTCATAAAGTGTGGAAACGCTCCATTATCTTACGATATAATTATTTTCAGAGGTAAAGCTCGGACAGGTCGATTTTGTATTTCAGTCTTCCATCTTTTTTTACAAAAAAATAATTTTTTCCCCCACCACCTTACAAGATATGACGTCATCGATATTTTTTTTAAATTGAAAGGGTATATTTTTATATCAAAAATTGATAGCCCATATTTTTCTGATTTCAACCATACCACAACCACATACGTCATATCTTACACTTCAAGTTACAGTATACTGAGTATAAAAGAAACCAGTGTTCATATTTCTCAACATTCATTTAATTATTTATTTTGCAATGGAAACCTGAGAATTACTCAGTAGTTAGTACGAGTATATTTGCCATACTTGAGTAGTAAGCAAGTAGTATTTTCACTACTTCTTATGATATTTTCATTGCAAATAAATAATTAAATGAATGTTGAGAAATATGAACACTGGTTTCTTTTATACTCAGTATACTGTAACTTGAAGTGTAAGATATGACGTATGTGGTATGGTTGAACTCAGAAAAATATGGGCTTTCAATTTTTGATATAAAAATATACCCTTTCAATTTAAAAAAATATCGATGACGTCATGTCTTGTAAGGTGGTGGGGGAAAAAATTATTTTTTTGTAAAAAAAGATGGAAGACTGTAATACAAAATCGACCTGTCCGAGCTTTACCTCTGAAAATAATTATATCGTAAGATAATGGAGCGTTTCCACACTTTATGAACGCACTGTATATTTTCCTACATGTTGATAGAACTTTTTTTCCTGATCTCAAAAATATATATGAGTTGCATATTTGGATAAAAAATAGTTGAGTTATTGAAGGTCAAAGTTTTTCAAAATACCGCTTCATGAACCTCCACTTCATATCATCTAAAAATGTGAGTTGAACATAGTGCGTGGGCTCAAAAATGATATTCATATATTGTTTAGGCTCTTTGAAAATGTTATAATATTGTTTATTATGAAATTGAAATCTTTTCGATCTCAATATAAAAAAATATTGATGGAAGATGCGTTATTTTGGTAAACTTTGATCAGCAATAACTGAATTATTTTCTATTCTAATATACAACTCATACATATTCTAGAAATCAGAAAAAAACCTGTATCGACATGTCAGGAAATATATAGGGTGTTCCATAGAAAAAATCAAAGTCAATGTCCTTTCCGCAAAAAGGAATGACTCTGTATATAAAGTAGATTGTAGATTGTAGATTGTAGAAGGGTCGTATAGGCTGGGAGACCTCTCGATCACTGCGACCTAGAAGATCTCTAACCCTAGACTTCTGATGAAGCCTACAATTTTCCTGACGGTTGAATTTTCCACCTCAGCAGGGGTGAGATAGACCTGTTCTAGGTGGTTCAGCCTTTGGCGGACTAATACTTCACATGAGCAAAGTATGTGTTCCGCGGTTTCGGTCGCATTGTTACAAAATCGGCAAGTGTCAGTCTCCGCAAGGCCCATCTTTTTGAGGTGGTACCTCAGAGGGCAGTGTCCTGTGAGAAAGCCTGTGATAAGCTGTAGCTCTGGTTTGCTGAGGCTGAGTAGCTCTTTGGCTCGGTTCTGCGAATGGTTGATGAACCTTTTCGCTTGTCGTTGACTTGGAGTTGCTCTCCGGTAGGAGGACTTTTCAATTTCTTCCCATTTCCTGAGTTCTTCTTTCAGGTGACATGTGCTGTATATTAAGTTACTTCTTGAAATAAGAGTTTGGGTCGTTTCAAACAACTTTCTCATTTATTATTTTCTCATATCTCTGAAAAACAAAACAATTGAGGGGGGGGTTCCATTTCGAGAGAGGCACCCTGTACATACGCTGCATATAATACGAAATCACTAGAACAGAAAAACATGATTGATGCTCACCTGTGTCTCTTTCAGCTTGGACAATTCAGGTTGGAGATAATAGGATATCCCAGATATTGCACCAGGCAGCATCAGCCCTCTTATTAATAAAATAGTCAGCACAACGTAAGGCATTGTTGCTGTGACCCAAACGACTTTTCCTGAAAGAAGTGGGCCAAAATGACTTTGCATAGTGCTAAATGGAATCTGGTTAATTCTACCTGAAGATTTGACTCCTTTGAACAGGGAAATGTACAACAAACAGTATATAATCATGAGACACACCACTAGCTGCCATTTTGGATAGCCCATATCGTGTAGACCATCGCTCCACTGCATTTCCAAAACTTTACGACTAAAACCAAAATGATTCAATAGTAGTAGGCATACTGTACAATATATTTCAGATTTTCTTATGTATGATTCTTTCACCAATTTATATGAATGTAGAAATGAGATGTGAAAATACATTCAATTTATTATCCCCATGAAGGATTCCTCAATAAGTAGGAGAAGTGACACTTGGCGACTCGTACACAATGTATACCGGGTGACACAGGAGACAGCCTGTAGTTTCTCTGGTTGAAGAGATAAAAATTTTAAATTCACAAGGGTTGTATTATTGGTGATGGCGCTTCTCTTGAAACCAATGACGATTTTTGTTAACCACCTGTTTGATTGGGAGTAGACCCAACTTATTTTTTTTCAAATGGCACCCTGTATATTTCTGTAGTTTATTATATTCGCCTTGAAATTCTCTACTCAACTATGTATCACAATTATTTGATATTCGTTTATTAATTGGCTGTTAAATTGTATTTTATTGAAATACATGAAGTTGACTGTGGCCCGAATACAATGACATTGCAATGCTTGATAGGCTTAGAAATCCAAAGATCATCACTTAGACGATATCATCAGAATATTTTCCATACCCTTATAGGTTCCAGAAGATTGCCAATAATTCCACTGACTTAGTAGCCAAATGAATAAAACTGAGTTTCTATCTCAGTTTTCTCAATATAGTGAGTTATTTTCGGATGATTTTTTTTAAACTCAATGAAATTATTATCTGGGACCGATTGGGGTATGGAAGATATTCTGATAATATCGTCTAAGTAATGAACTTTGGATTTTCTAAGCCTATCAAGCATCGAAATGTCATTGAATTCGGCCACAGCCAACCTCATGTACCAATGAAATGCAATTTACCAGCCAATTAATGAACGAATATCAAATTGTGATACAAATTGGCCATCAAAGCGTAGATTCTTATGTCCAAGTGTCCATCTGCCGTCAACATATTTCGGTCCATAAGCATTATCATAATCTGCACAGTAATATTTATCTAATGCTTGCTCTGATGAATGTGGTTTAGACTCCATGATGTGAACGCTATGGTGTCTGATATACAACTGAAGACTTTTGAATACATCTGAATACTCTTGAATACCTCTGAAGACATCTGAATACCTCTGAAGGCGTGATCTGAAGACCTCTGAATAACTCTGAATACCTCTGAAGACATCTGAAGGCGTGATCTGAAGACCTCCGAATACCTCTGAATACTTCTATAGGTGTGATCTGAAGACTTCTGAATCCATTAACTGCCATCCGATAATCAGCTATGTTATTCGAATTGGTGGCGTCCACTCTATGGGCATTCCTCATATGGTGGTATAGGTTAGTTTTATTCAAGAATTTCCCACATTTCTCACACACAATGCTTGGTGTCGATTATAGCGAAATTTTCGCTCTTTAAAACTTTCCCACGTTCTATTGATATTGAAAGCAATCCACTCTCCAGTATTGAGACACTCTGTTATAAATCTGAAATAGCTGCGCTCTTAGAGTTCCTGAAATCTCCTGCTACCACTCTGCTAAAATTCACCGAACAAGAATTGCACTATATTCCAGTAGAGTGTATCATTGAACATGCAGATCCCTGTGACCTATTAATGATATGGCACAAACTTCCTGAAGAATATCGCTGCAACTTTAACCTCCAAATCAGGCTTCATTCATTACAATCGTCCCGATTGGACTACACACTGGGATGGACCGCCATCTTCTCAAGAGGCATGTCATTTTTGTAGAAAAGGATTACTTAAATAAATAGTTTATTTATCTTCGTTTTCGTATTCTTCTACTCACATGGGCCGCCCTGTATATATTTTTTTCAATCTTCATCAACTCAAACACCCTGTATATATTTCTCTCAACTCAAACACTCCTTCCATGCCAAAACATGGGACCGCGAACCGTGGGACACTCTGTATATATTTTTTTTCAATTTTCAATCGACTCAAACGCCCTGTATATGAAAATTCAATCTTGTTATTGTCATTAAAGTGTTATTGTTGCGGTTTCGATAAGCTCCCGCCAGCGCTACCCCGCTTCCCCGCTAGAACACAGGCCGCGTTCCAGTTAAGATTAAAGCGTGTATTTCCCTATGCCTATAGTGACGGTCTCCTAGTATAACTACTTACTTGAATAGAGAATTTCAAGGCAAATAAGATACTGTACAAAAATATATAGGGTGCTATTTGAAAGAAAGAAGTTGGGTCAGTTGGGTCTACTTCCGATCAAACAGGTGGTTGAAGAAAATTGTCATTGAGTTCAAGGCAAGCGCCATCATCGATAATATAACCCTTGTGAATTTCAAATTTTCATCTCTTCAAATAAAAAAAACTACAGGCTGTTACATGTGTCCTGTGTCACCCGGTATAAAGATAATTTCATATGAATATCTTCTCCGGTTCACCGGTATTGGAATATCATGCTTCATTCTATGCTTCTTGGTATGATCTCGAAATGGCGCTATAACTGTATTTTCCTACAGGATCTAGTAAACACCTTCCAAGTAGGGGTAAAAGGTATGTGAAGGACTAGCAGTGTTGTCTTAGGTGCTCAAACGATTGGAAATTGTGTCAAGAAGGAAAAGTTCCGAAACTCCAGTCCGAGTGACCCAGAAACAAGCGAATTCGACGTCAAAGAGCTATCCAGAATAAGACTGTTGATGTTGAATTCGGAAGTTATTAAGGACGGTTAATGCGATATTCCTGCAGTTCAATTCTGGGAATAGAAATATCAAGCAAACACTTTGCGATGTTTATTTGATTTATCTAAAGTTACCCGAAACAAACCAAACAATGTAGCTGATATACCTACACTATATTTCAACGCTTCATCAACTCTTTTGGTGATACATTGAGAGAATTTTTCATTTCAATAAACTACGAAAAAACATCGGTCTTGTAGGTAACGAGGTATAAAAATGATTACATGGATTTATTTGTTCAAAATATGTTCTTTGAGATCTTTTCTTTCTGAATACCCATTGTAAGAAATCATTAGATGAAGCAACAGATGTTCAACAGATATTTCGATGACATTCAAAAAAAGAATGTAAATTTCCATAATGTCGAAACACATGAACTAACCCTGAATATTTTCTCAATTTCTTCCAGATTCATGTAAGAAAACCAATTTAACCTAGAAGGTGTATTGAAGTCACAGAACTTTTCTTCTCTTTAGTTTTATGTGATGATGAAGTTATATGACTGGATATACCTGGGTATCTTTTGAGTAGTTACTGTTCATCATAGGTACAGAAAATGGATGGAATATATCCGACAGATCTTGAATTGAATGATCCTTCAATATTTAAGTAATACGCTCGAAGTTATATAAAGTCCTAAAGGGTATGGTTTCTTGCATACTGTTTGGAGCTGAGATAAGTGAGCCTTCTCCTGGTGTTTACACATAACTTCTCAGAACTTTGAGGATCAGAATGTATGTACGTTGTTTGGATGATTCTTCATGTACTACATACAGAGTATATCGAAGACTGGAACCTTTGGCACGATAATACACTACACTGTTTTACCACTAACCAAACCGATTTTTTAACGCCTCGACACGTGTTTCGCTAACTATGTTAGCATCTTCAGGAGAAGATTAAAAGAGTTTCTTCTCCTGAAGATGCTAACATAGTTAGCGAAACACGTGTCGAGGCGTTAAAAAATCGGTTTGGTTAGTGGTAAAACAGTGTAGTGTACATACAGAGTGTTCCAGAGCTTTCAAGTTCGACAATCGATAGAAAATTTGAAACTATTACATGAGTGTTTTTTATTTATGTCGTGAAGATCTGGTTCTGATCCTCGTTATACGAAGTGTTAAAGTTCACATTTTTGGTGTTGAATGTTTATCTCTGCTGAAACCGTTGGATCCGAAGAAAAAATGGAGAGACAACTTCAAAAACAATTGAAACTATTCAACTGTATATCCACTATAATAAATATTACATCATATTATAATGGTGGATGAGCACAAAATATTTTCAACACTGCCAAATCATACGCATCTATTCATTTTCATAAAAGGAACGTGGAAAACAATAAACTAGTCGCTTGAAATTTTCCCCTGGACAAAATATTAATAAAAGCCCAATTGAATACACGCTTCAGTCACCTTCAGTATATAGTTTTCCATATAATGACGCAAAAATTAAATGTTCCATGACGATGCCTGCATGTTTAGTATTAAATATTTTTCGGATACTCACTTGAAAAATTCAGAAGCAGGAGTATGTCTGCTATTCCTGCCAGTGTCGTTGATCAACTTGATGATTTTCGTTGCATTGGGATTCATACTGTCCCAACAAATATCGGTGTTCCACGTATTATTACAATGAATCCAAGGCAAATCTGATGTTATACTAGATCCAATGAAATAGAGGGCCCAAGCTGCAATCGATTTGATTCTCACAAAATTGGAAGACCTCTTAATGTATCAATGGTGAATGTAAAAAACTTCATTAACGATAATATTTTTACAAAATTATCAATAATTCAATATGTTTCGCTCATATTCTTCAAGCTACGCAAATCATTGTTAACCTAATTTATTGTTATTTCACTCGAAAAATTTACTATGTTAGTGAAACATATTGGGTTATCAAGAGCTCTGTGGAAATTAATCTTATCATTTGTGGAGTTTTAAACGTAATAATAATGTTTATACAGCCCTTTATTCTAACTGAAGCTGAAGCACTTGTTTTAAATGAATAATATGCAAGTTGAATACAAGAATGATGATCAGTGATAGTTGAATACCTATATTTTTTACTATGTACTCACCAAGGATAACATTGTAGTAGAAAGATACATAAAAGGATACCAGAACAGCACAAAATCCAACTCCTGAAATTAATGAAAATTTAGGTGAAAACGAACATAAACAAATTTATAATGAGTAAAAAATAGCTTAGTTTTATAAACATACAGACTTGTGAAAAGCAGAAAACTGACCCCCTATTTTCAGATAAGTCATTATTCTCCCGAACCCGAATCATCTTCTTATTATAAGTTGATTCATCACTTACCAGACTCGAATGATCATTATATGGTTCAATTTCATTTTGGGTATATACATAGTTACCAAAAAAACACTTTAGCACTTTTAGTTTCAAAATTTTAGAGGAATAGAATACACTGGAGAAATGATTAATATTTTACCTTTGAATAGAGGACATATCCTCCAAAGACTAATCGGGCCCTGTCTGTAAAATTGTCCTAGTAAAAGTTCCATGTAGAACAATGGTACTGCCCCGAATACCAACATCAACGTGTAAGGAACTAAAAAGGCACCTGAAATCCAAAAAGAACTACTCTAGGTACAACCCAAACAATTTTCTAACAATTAAAATGCGTAATCAATACCACTGTGTCCCAAATCTAGTTGTGAACTGAATTGAATTGGAATTTTCGAATAAAAAAAATAGTAATTCATTGTAATGAGCTGAAATAAAAATACATAATAATATTATCAAGACTATAAAAGTATAGATTATACCACGAGTCAATAGTGATATTAGATATTATTCTCGTGGAATATTCACAAATCGAGCCATGTAAGCAGCGGGGGTGCCAAAAATAGCCATCATTGCGAGTTGTATACCCTACTTTATTCACGACAAATCCATTTATTCCAGATTCTGAATACAAAACACACAAACACTACGCGATTGAGCGTTTGTTCATATTGTTTCCATTGTATTATTTCTTACTATTTCACTCATCATGAAGTTTTGTTGTCTAGCCAAAGCACTAGTGTTTCAATTCTGATTGGTCTATCAGCGTTGGTGTTTTCAACGATTTAACCATGGATTACGAAGAAAAGTCAGTCAGTTTGACCATTGTTTGACATTGAATAATTATAGCTGTAGGTATCATGATAGGGCTTGTTCATTCATAATCAATGCTTCTTATGCTTCGTGAAATAGTCTAGCAAAATACCACTCTGTTCTGAATATCGTCTACACATCCTGTCTATTATTGATATCTCAATAAGTATGTTGCCGTTCAGCATACAGAGCGACACAATTATACTGAATATTCAGAACACCGTAATATTACTGTTGAGAAATCTTGTGATTGGAGTGCAAGGAAGAATAATGACCATCAATCCCGCCGGGAGTATGATGGCAATATAAACTGCAAAAACATACATCATGGATCAGTCGTAAATGAAAGAAATAAAAGGCTAGGAAGGTAGATACTATTCACTACTATTCCTTTGAACTGGCCTAGTACTGTGGAGACGTACTTTCCAACCCAAAAATCGTCCCGAAATTATGATTTCTTGATTAACTGGCTAAATCATGACGATTTCCTCGCTGAAATATGTCCTTATTCTCTGTATCAATGTCATACACTATAAAGAAAACATGAATCGCTCTGTAAATGGCGTTTTTATGAGAATCTCACCTATAAGAAAAAGATTTGTTCCTCCTAACCGATATAATTTTATTTTATGACGCGTCTTCCAAAGACCTCGACTATATTCAATATCTCCGAGGAAGCGACGCATTTTTACCCCGATGAAAGGAAGGGTAGGCAATAAAACTATTAATTACCCTTCCACCACCCTCGTTTCCATTGCGAGAAGATAGAAGAATCGCGGGACAATTGCTAAATCGACCGAAAATATAATAAAAAAATATATATTGAAAAAATGCTTGGACCTAGATGATAATTCATTAGATTTTTGGTATACCTACTTGCTTACTAATCTGAAAGAAACAAGAGGCAATCATTATGATAGGAACATTAGGAAGTTATTGTTCTGGTTCCCACGAAAAGAGAGAAAAAGTAATGTTCAGAGAACATCGTGAGAACCAAGGGAAATAAGGTAGGAATTGGTGTTCTTCTTGAATTTCTGGAGGTTATATGCCTCGGGGAACACCTCCCTTGGCAATATGTTTCAGATCCTCGCTGTTCGTTGGATGAACGAGTCTTTGGTAAGAGATGTTCTGCAGGTCTCCAAAGTGACCACGAAGGGGTGCGAAGCCTCAACTCGACGGGTAATCTCGCGGGGACTGCCAAGGGAGGAACAATTGTTGATATTTCAGAGGAGCATCGTTCATGGAAATATCTATAAAATAGAGCCAGATCGCCAACTTTTTTAGGGAGTCTGGTTCCAAAATTGAGATAAATTTATATTGGTGCGAAATCATTGAACGGTCACGTTTTTGTTTATCATTATCAAACCATGAAGTTTCGAGTATTGGTTGAACCTAAACACAAGCGTGACATTTACATCAGTGAAGGAAAATATAGATAGCTCATATAAAAAGTGTGAGGAAACCGGCGCAGGAATCATTCACCAATTCGAATATGAATTTGTTCATTGAATCATTCACCACTGTGCCCTAACCGCCGGAGTTGGGGCTCCCAGCAATATTCGCTTCAGTGTAAGCATCAAGTCATAATTAATTGTTATTTGTGGAAAAAAATTATGTGTGTATATGAATGTTTGTTGAAAATATTTTAGTCTCATTTATCATTATATCACTTTCAAAGTTAATTATCTAATGGATCTAGAACACAACTTAGGCAACAAGGCCTACTAGGCCTATACAAGAGAAATTGCTTAAGTTTCAGAGAACATCATAATAGGGTATAGCAAAAGAAGGAGACACAATAGATCTTTCAGATATAATGTCTTATTTCAGAAACTCCTGGTATAAACTGTCAATGTTAAAAACTTCACAAACGATTAAATTTCCACAAAATTCTTAATCACATGAAATGTTTCGCTAACACAGTAGCTTCATCAGGTGAAATTACCTGTGGAAAGGCTCGATGAACCTTGATTTTCGGAAGATAGGCACAATATCTATATCAAAATACGATATACTGAAGAGGGTTGATAGCAAATATACCGGGTGTCCCAGTATACCTGTTCCAATAGATTATCTCATCCATTTCGAAAGATGAAAATTTGAAAATTACATGATCTACTACAATTCTAATAATTTGAAATTATTATTAAAATCAAAATCAAGATTACAAAAATATCGTAGCCTACTGCAATTCCTCCTATTTGAAATTTCAATTGTCGTTTTCTCAATCAAATCAAATTTAAAATACAAAGTGTGATACATCGTTGGACCGGTAATTTTGAGTAGAATTCAAGAATTGCGAAAAATATACAGGGTGCTATATGAAATAAAAAAGTTAGAGTCACTTTGACTTTTTGTTTGTCTCAGTTGAAGCTTCCTTGAACCAATTGGAGATCATGGAATTTTCGAATTTTTATTTTTCGAAATGGCTGAGATAATTCATTGGAACAGGTATACTGGGACACCTGGTATATTATCACTTACCAGAAATTATCACTCACTAAAAAAATAAACTCAACTGAGGTGAATTATTGAGGTCTTTGATCGTTAAGCAGAATGGCAGCATTTTAGCGTTCGTTTATTTTTGATGATACAAAATGATTGAGATTTATTCCTTCATTTTCTACGTTAAGAATTTCAAAATTATTGTCAGAACCATGGTTCGTTGAATTAGTTATCTTTTTGAAAAAAATTGATCTTGCCTGATTAAACATATTACAATCAACAACGGATACAACGTTAATTTGATAAACAGTATTATTTCTCAAATACTCCGTAATAAAGCAATAATCTAAGAAGATTATCCTACCATCAAAAACAAGATTCAAAATTATAGAACATTCAAATATTTCGGATCATCAATGAAAAATTAGCTTCATTCCTACATAAACTGGAATTAAAATTCACCTACAGAACAAATAACACCTTGTGAAAGTTTATCAGAAAAATTAAGACAAAACTTCCTAATTAGATCATGGGTATAAAAACTCAACAGTGGATCTTGTCCTATGGCATATTGGTCAGACAGGTCGAACGTTCAATCAGCATAAGATGCATTCTTTGAAAAAGAAAACAAATTCAACATACGCGAACAATATATAGAAGGAAATTATAGTTTTGATGATTGTTTCGAAATTCTACACGTAGAAAAGAAAGGAATGAAACTCAATCATGTTGAATCATTAGAAATCAACGAACGCAAAAATTCTGGCATTCCACCTACGATCAAGTAGATCTCAATAATTGGATTTGTTTTCATACATCATATTTTAATGTAGATAATGTGCCAATTTTTAAAAAAGTGAAGGTTAATCGAACCTTTCCACAGGTAATTCCAATCCTTCAAGTTGGGAAAGTAGGATGTAAAAGTTGGGCAAGCCAACGTAGGTTTGTTTTATTGTATCAGTATTTCACCTGAAGAAGCTACTGTGTTAGCAAAACATGTCGTGTGATCGAGCGGAAATCTTACCGTTTGTGAAGTTTGAAGATGTTATTATTTGTTCTTGATTCATTTTCTCTTTTGTAACAATGCAAACGTATACATTTTTATTCTGTACAATATTTGAAGGGGCTGAACTAGATCTTTTCTGAATTGTTTTCAGCTCCTTTCTTTGTTGAAATCATTAAATTTTTTTGTAGAAACTTTTATCCAAGCATGTGTGCAAAAATAAACGATACTATTATTATTATTTACTACGGATTTCCATCAAGTAACGGCCTACTCAATTCAAAAAATAAACTGTTAAATTATTTCGTTCTCGTACCTCCTCCGTTCCGGTAGCACAAGTACGGGAACCTCCACACGTTGGCCAGATCGACAGCAAACCCGATGATGGAAAGCAAGAAGTCCGTGTTGGAGCCCCAGGTCTCCCTGTTGTCGTCAGCACCGGAGGTATAGAAGTCCTGGTCTCCAGCTTCGCCTGCTTGGCTGGAACTCGTCGACAGGACGAAGGATTCGTGCTCGTCCTCTTCTAGCTGCACATGGAGGTCTTCTAAAGGAAGAAAATCAATTTGATCGAAGATACTTCGATGGTGCATTCAGTCACAGCTTCCTTGAAACGCCAAGCCGTGCTCAAGAGATTTGGCAACAATGCGTATATGTCACACGTCAGTCATCATGATTTTTACCCTACCTCGCTAGGTTGTTCCGATAAAAGGTTGAGGGGGGGGAGGACTTTTCACGTCCTCACTGTTATATGCATACAATACGAATAGCACAAACTGAAGTTTCATTACCAGAGATACTACAAGACAAATATAATATCGAAGTAATCAATAAGATAACGATTGGATTGTTTCATGATTGATGCAATTATGAGATGTATTTCTGATACTTCAGATCGCACGAAAGGAAATCCTCGGAAATCCTCATTATGTTCATGTAAAACTGTGCGTCCTTGAGGAAGCAGGAGAAACGAGGATTATACTGGAATTTTTTCATCTTCTGCAGGCTAATATGTCTTGGGAATGCCTCTCTAGCCAAAAAATCTCGATGAGCTGCCGTTCCCTGACGAATTAGTTTTCTTAGAGAGTTGTCAGACAGATTTCAAGGTTGATGACAAAGTGGTATGCTGACTGTGTTTGTCAAGTTCATCCAACTAGTGAAACTGATGATGGAAAGATAGCTGAAATTTGTCACAAAGACTGTCCTGAAAGTATCTTTAGAAAAGTGAAAGTTTATAACTTGCCTACGACTAGTCGTATATGAGGAATGCAGATGTTTCCTGTTTCAATGACTATCTTATTATTTTAATATTTCCCAGAGAGAGAAGTGACTGTGTGATATCATAAGCTCATATGACATTTTTAATTAAAAGGCAGTTACGATGAGAACTTACTTTTCCTTAATGTACAAGTTAGAACCAGGTTAGTCGATGAGTTGGGATGTTTCGTGTGACCTTTTCCTGCAACAAAGAGGAATTTTAAATCAGATTGAAGAGTCTAGTAACTGAATAGGATGATACATCTATGTTATTCAATTATGCGAACTTTTACGGAGATAACTTTTTCAATACGAAACAACTTTTCGAGGAAACGCTTCAGCAAGCATGTATTCACTAAAGGGTTGCCTAGCTTCGAAATCACGTGGCTTCAATCCATGGACGACAACTATCTTATAGGGTGCAGAAAAATATGTTCATTGACGATTCGTTGAATAAAACGTCTCGAAATATCAAGAACAGCTGTCTGCTTTTAAATTGAACTCTTTGGAGATTGTTATTGAATTGCAGCTCGAACTGTTTCGATATTTTGTGCGATAGTAACAGTATTCTGAGACCCCCTTCTTATTGTGGACATATTTTCGGTGTCCTGAAATGCATCAACCTATAGAAGAACACGAACTCGATCATAAATTCGGCCGTGGTGAGCGCTTTCGAATTATTAACGGAAGGCAAGCTGCGCACGGACGTTCTTGATAGTGACTTCATAGTGACTGAAAACACGCAGAACATGAACGAGTGTAAACTTGATGAAAAGAGGTTCTCCTACTTGTCCAGTTAGAATCATATTGTGGGTATTCGAAAATATAAGGCACTGATTGATACTGAACCACTCGGTATATAGTATCGACGTAAACATTCGTCTCTCTAACGCAAATCATTTATATGTGTCGCTATAACTTGAGTGTTTTGAATTCGAGATAACCATCGACGCCTCACTAACAAGTAATGTCCTGTCAATAATGTTGTGAAGTGAATATTCTTATAACTACTGTTTCCAGGTACGGGCTTTCTTGGGAGAATTTTCAACGTCAACTCTTTCAAAATGTCATGAGAAATCTGTTCATTTCACCATTTATCAAGATATTGCCACGATTTCGATTTGGTAATATAATTTTAGGTGATTTTTTTGTCTTTCTGCCGCAAACACTGCTTGGAAAGTAGTCAAATTTGAACGATATTTCTACTGTCCACAGCGGGCTTACACATATGGTAAACATTTTTGTTATTGATTTTACAAAAAAAAATCATTCTTCATAAAAAGTTCTGCATGGAATGCGTGAGTATGTCAAAAAATAGTATTTTTCCTCAAGAGTAAAGTACCTTTATCATTGACAATATCGAAAATTAAGGTAAAACTGCACTTTTCATGCGAAGGGTTTCTTTTTTCGAAAATTTTCTTTGGTCCTCACATGTCTGAAAAACACTAATTTGATAATGGGAATTTGAACAAACCACTATTTATAGAGATATTTCATGAAAAAGGTTCGCCTTCTTTTTCCTTCTGTGATGGATGCATTTACAGCTACTGGTTCGTCTTTTTTTTTGTCATTGAACACTTCATATACTCATCATAGAAAATAGAACACAAAATATGATTTTTAATGGGGAGTTTTTATTATTGGAACAATAATACCAGATGACGAAAGTGAACTAGGAAAACTGACCAAGGAACTCTCATAAGAAACGTGAAAGTCTAATATAATGTAGCTGTAGCTCATTTACGGATATGCAAGTAATGAAAACATTATACTATTCTTTTGTAAGATCGAAGCTTGAATACGGATCCATGATTTGGAATCCACACTACCAGGTTCATAGTGATAAAGTAGAGAAAGTGCAGAGAAAATTCTTGAAATTCCTAATATACAAAACTACTGGTGTATATCCACCTAGGGGACAAAATTATAAGAATACACTGGAAATTTTTGAATTCAGCAGTCTTGAGCTTCGCAGAATAATGATGTCAATAACATTTTTACACAAAATAGTACACCTTGAAATTGATTGTCCAGATATTGTTTCAAAAATAAACTTTTATGTTCCACGAATTGGGTCTCGTCAAACTCAAAAATTTCTATGTAGTCGTGCAAATACAAATTTAATGTTGAAGTCACCTGTAAACATTATGTGTTCGAATTTTAATAAAATATGTAGAGACTGTGATATCCACCATAGTAGTCTGGGGCAAGTTTTGACATGCGTCAGACAAGCTCACAGGAGGTTTGTAATGAATAATGATACCTGATCATATATACGTATATTTTTTTTGTGATGTACTTAGCATTAGTAGTTGTTAGTGCAAAGTTATTTATTTTTTTTATCTAGTATATTTGTTATGTAAGTATATGCATATAGTTTGTATGTATTTAATCAATCTATCAATTTGTTAGTTGAATTAGGCTTTGTTTATTCTAGTATTAGTTGATTTATACACTTGTTTTATGTTTGAGTTTCCGTCCTGTAATTGGCGCAAGCTGTTGGACGAAGTACCCTTAAATAAATAAATAAATAAATAAATAATGATGGATATAAATAGTGGATGTTAGGGTTCCGAAGTTAGTCTGGTCTGGGGCTATTTTCGACTTGACAAGATCTCGTCGTAATGGTCATTATAATGTAAGTTGTTACTAGGACTATACAGGGTGATTCAGATTTTAAGGCACAAACTAAAATGGAAGATAGATCTCATCATTTCAATCAAAAAAGTTTATATAAACATTAGTCCGATCTCTTTCAATAGCGAAGCTACAGGGGGTCACAGCCTAATTATTGTTTCCTATTAATTGAAGTATCTCGCTTACTTTTCAAGATATTATCATTTTGAAATTTGGTGTGGTCAATACTTCCTAGAAGATCATCATTTCAAGCCATTTAAAGATTATCAAAATCTACAGGATGATACGTTATTGGGGGGAGAGGCTTCCTTATTCCCCCCAAACTTTTCCGTTGTACGCCTCTGGCATCTCTGGCATCTTGCAGTGATCAAATTGTGTGGATCTTTCAATTCAGAAGCTTTTTTTGGTCCTCAATTTTTTTCGAGAAACGAACCGTTTTTGAGATAAATAAGCATATACGTTCTAAAACATATTAATTTTGCCTATGTTTCGCTTAAATTTTATTCATCTGAAAAAAAAAACTTTGACTTTCTACCCTCTGTATCCCCGTTACTTATAAAGATTGAACTCGTGATTGCAATTTTAGTGAGTACATTTTATTGCACTTTCAACGAAAATAGAATGTTAGCGAAACTAACATGTTTTAGAACGTATATGCTCATTTATTTCAAAAACGGTTCTTTTCTCGAAGAAAATAAGAGAGCAAAATTGCTCCTAAATTGAACGATCCACACAATTTAAACACTGGAAGATGCCAGAGGCGTACTACGAAAAAGTTTGGGGAGGATAAAGAAGTCTCTACCCCCAAAAATGTATCACCCTGTGAATTTTAAAAATCTTCAAGTGGCTTGAAATGATGCGATCTTCTAGAAAGTAAAGACCACACCAAATTCCAAAGCAATATTTTGAAAGGTAAGCGAGATATTTCAATTAATAGAAAAAATAATTCAACTTTGACCCCCTTCTTTGATTAAAATGATGAGATCTATCTCCCATTTCAGTCCGTGCCTTAAAACCTGAATCACCCTGTATATTCATTGTTGTTGATTCATATTTGTCATTGCTACCCATAATGTTTCATGCTTCAATAAATATTGTTATATTTGAATATAGTCTCGTACTTTCAGCTACCCCTAAACTATTAGTGCCTATTCGAATATCACCTCTCGCAAACTACTAAGTCAAGTGAACCCCTTATAAATCGATATGGATGGACTAACCATCTATTTTATAATAATAATAATAATTTCTTTATTGGACAAGAGGATTCGCAACATATTGAATGAAACAAATATTTTCATGTCCCAGGCGAGGTTCAAGTACTCCTCCAAAGGGGAGCCCTGCTCTACCACCTGACCTGGACCGTTACCACCGATAAAACAAGGCCAGCAGACTCTGACGTAAACAGCTCGTGACGTCGCATACTCAGGCCATCTTCCAAGGCATTCGCGTCGATCGATCGTCAGTTTGTTTTTGTTTAAGAACGGTGGCGTAGGTAAATCGCGTGTGCTGGAATTCTCTTGTTGTTTATTCATCAAAATAATTGGCGGAGAAATTACTGTTTTATGAAATATTTCGTGCTGTGATAGGCGAAATAACAATGCCTTACAAGTGTTGTGTTCCCTTTTGTCGGGGGAATTATGTGGGTGGTCCAAAAGTTCATGCTTTTAGTTTCCCGTTGGACAAGGAACTATCGAAAAAGTGGGTACATGCAATTCACCGCAAGGATTTTACGACTCCATCTAAGTACAGTAAAGTATGTGAATTACATTTTACTAAAGATGATATTATTACTTCATCTACTGCAACCGATTCAAAAACTGGCAAAACTGTAACAATAGATTTGAAAATTCCTAGGCTCAAACGAGATGTTATATTCCCACTCAATATCCCAACTGTCCATTTTATTTATCGAAAGATGTAAAATTACGCACAAGTCGTGATGAAAAACTTGAGATACTAGAGACTAAAAATTTGGCACAAGCACTTACCAAAAGTAAAACTGAATTCGAAAATTACCAAAAATCATTTTGCTACACAGAATTTCAAGAATTTCTAGTTGTATTAGAGTCTTTTCAGTTGCCCGAAAAGTGGTTCAAAATTATCGATTTACAAAAAGTCACATTATTCAAATTGTCTTATTCTCCAGGGCCCGTAATTACATATTCGGTTGTGATTGATTTTGTTTCGAATGTGGAATCATTTTGTATGACCTAGCGATACAAACATCTCTAGAAGCCAATCTGAAAACACCTTTTATCTCTAATAATATCAATCAAATCAAGGAATTACTAATTGAAATAGATAAAAACGAGATACATAATTCGGGAAAATGTCTTGATAATCAGAAAAAGAGGGTTTTGAAACATATTTCGAATGCATTGGACTCTTTGGTTTCTGACTCGGTTTCAGATCTTGATGAAGATTCCGAAAATACTTCAGCTTCATTGTTCCTCTCTGAGCAAATTAAATTACCATACATCCTGCAAAGAACGATATCGTTATTCGAATAATACTATAATTTCAGCCTCTATAATTCATACAATAAGTCCACATGCTTATAAA